TGTTTAACAGTTACATTGAAATGGATCACTTTACTGCCGTATTTGTAAGGCACATGAGGCAAAGAAGTGATCACACTGATTGTTAATTTCTGCTGACATGAATATATATATATATATATATATAATAACAATAAATCACAAGAATATCAGGTTTGAGTCTTTCCAAAACAAAGCCAGAAAGTATCATGTTTAAAAATAGTTTTGGACGGTTCTATTTTAGAATACGATTTAAAGCACTTCTCAATAGAAAGCCTTTTATTATACCCAACATGGATTTCAGTGAAAGCCAGTAATTTTAAAAAATGTACGTGATATTGTGCTACTCTTACTTTCCCTCTGTCTAAATGCTTCAGTGAACCAGAATAAAGTTTTCATTGCTGGTTAATGACTATGGCAGAAATACAGGTTTATTTGAAGTCGTTACAACGGTACTGAGGATAACTTATTCTGAAGACTGTACTGAATTAGTTGCAGAAGCTGATCATTGTGACCTCGGAAGTTGAGAAGTAAACCCAATGTGATTCATTGTTCCAAATGCAGTCAGCTTTGCATGATTCTTGTAGATTCCTCCAAAGCTTTGACAAATACTTTAATTGGGAGACTTCACATTATCTGGACTTAGTAAACACTGACTAAATTATTTTGCTTGTCTTCATTTCAGATTTTAAACAACACTCGATGTATTAGGCAAACCTTTACTGGACTTCACATCTAAAATTCATGAAATTGGATAGAAACCATCTTTCTAAAACTGATCTGTCTGAAAAATTAAGGGCTAAAGTGAAGTTAAGATCATTTCCGAAGTCATGTTCCTTAAGGTTTATGGCTATAGCACCGGATCAATGAAATAAATTCTCACTATTTTGTGCTGAAGAGTTTCTTTTCAGTTCCATTTATCATCTCAAATCATTCTCGATAATTACTATGACGAAACTCATTTCTAATGTTTAACAATTACAATAGCATCATATTTATGTCCACTAGACGGTAAATCTGTTATCTTTGGAAGAATCTGTATTCTTGAGCTTATATCAGTTACAGACATATATTTCAATGATAAAATAAGTGGAGAGTAAATTCACTCATGATGACCGTTATGTTTAGCATGATATGCTGTGTAATCTTATAGCAATAAATGTAAAGTGTTGTTCAAGAACCTTATATTTCATTTTATATCACTTGTAAGTTAGTGATAATAATGAAACATTTTCATTGTCAAAAATACGCTAAAGTCACCCAGAAAACTTCTGATGAAAATTTAACACACAAGCCTTCAAATTACTGCGAAATCATTTCAATTCTAAATGAAGCAAAAAAGAACGTCATGATATGCAGTCAGTTTTCCCAACAGCTGAATTGTACAGCCGACTGTTACCAGTAATTAAAACAGAAGTCTGAACACAACAACTCCAAGTTAGTAGTGTAGAAAACCCTGTTAAACGAAAAATTTCGCAAAGGTTTTTCTTAGGATTTTTCAAAATTTTTATTCCACTGCATTCCAAATGGGAAATACGACTTCAAGTTTCAGCTCTGAGGTGTCAGTAGCATTGCTGTTGTTTTTTAAAGGGTTGGCTTGCTGGCACCACACTTTACCTTCCTTCCCTACCAGGCTTACTACGAACTAAGCAAGGCGGGAAACCGAACCGAGACCACGGATGTGGGGTCCGCAGATGAATATGTATTCAATGTATCACAGTTACATTTTAGCCACCAATGGAAAAGTTGAGAATATGCGAATAGAATATAAACACTGTTGTCCAGAACAGTTCCACAATAGAATAATTTTATTTGCTAAGATACATAGTGACACAGTATAATTCATTTTCTGATGACGTCTAGAATTCACTTTTGCTGAATATCATAAAACTTTGAGGTAAGTATATATAAGAAGGAAGAAAAACAGTGATCTATTTTTGTGATCTACAAGTTAATTACTGATTAAGTGACATTATTAAAAGTGTAGGAGTTGTAAGTGTTTACTAATACCTCCTTTTTATTTTAAATATTAAACATTATATGCGGGGCTTTTGGGTAGAATTATAGGGCAGTATAGGTCGCACTCACACTGGCCCAACTTTTGAAGTTGGTGATGCATCTTGACTAGCAAAATCTATTTTGAAGTTTTTTCATAATGCCTGAATCAATTATCAAGTGTAATATTCACATCATAGTGGAACTCAGCAATGTCATTTATTTATGTTATCCGATAAACGGGGACCAGATTAGCTGCAGAATAGTCTCTGATTAGTGACATGTTTAATCTTCTATTTATTATTCCTGCAATATTATCCCTTTTAAATTCAAGTTGAGTGAAGACAGTGATTTATTTGCCACTAATTAATTATTCGATTTTAAGTATCATGATTTCCCACCTCTACTGAACTTTATTAATTTTCTTGTTTATTCAAGACTTCGAAATTACCGATGTATTAACAATTTTCATCATTTCGCTTGCTTGTTAATCTTGATTTTTATAAATCTATTTTATCACCTGTACGTATTCATACATATCTGTCAGCTGTATAGGTAGATGTGTGTTGTATATTTTGCATGTCTGCCAATAATAATTTTAATTCTACGCTTTATGAAACAACTGGAAAATAATCAATTTAAAAAGAAGCTTTGCTTATGTTTTCTTTCTTTTTTCACGTATGTGGACTAGGAGAAAAGTTATTAATTATTGTTTTTTTATTGTTATTTTTTTATTTAATTTATGCTATCTGAGAACTGGTAAGACTGATTTGCATGACAACTTAAATCACCGTTACATAAAGCGCAATGCAAAATACGAATTTCATCTTTTCTTTAGCAAACAAAAAGAATCTTCGCGTTCATTCATTTTAAAGTGAAAGTAGCAAGGTTTTACTTTGAAGTAAGAACTTTTCAAATTTTAACTTGTGTTGGTCTTTGAAAAGTTAAGCTCCTATTCTAAAAAAAAATTTTCTTATATATATTCACTTCTATTAACGTTTTCAGAAAGATAAAGGAAATTTTATTTGATACGCATTTATAGACCTACGTAACCGTACGCGCACTTACTTGGGAACTGATGACGTATTCTGAGGATGGATATTTCGCTTGTGCTACATCTAAAGAATCTATGGGTCGTTGAATCACATCCAGGCCACTGGATGTTTGTTGACGTAGCCTCGTAGACTGAAGGCCCTAGGCTCGATCCTCAATGCGGTGACCAGTGAGCAACGCTAAAAATTCTCAAAATAGTAAAAATTATCCTTGATTTCCAATAACTCTGTAAATGATGTCGGTTTATGATCTTACTCTAACCAGTTAAATCTACACAAAAAACACTCGGAAACTTTTCCTTATCCTTTGCTCACTTGTTGTTAGGGTAAATGCTTCTTGAACAACTATTGTTGCAATGTGTTTTTCACTCTAAGAGCCTTGAGCATTTCGTTATCATATGGAAAAACACCGAAATGCTAAATATTTTCAAATAAACTAACACAATTGGACGTTTCAAAGCATTCAACACTATGTTGACTATAGACAGTAGGAAAAAGTGACCTTCAATAGGGGTATTTCTCGAATTCCGTATGCTTTCCAAATCAACGATTACAAAAAATTTAAGACAGTCGGTAATTATTATTTTTAAGCTATCCGCAAGTAATTATTTCTAAACTATACGTAAAGAATTTATGACACCATACAGGTATGCATGCATGTGCGCTTTAATGTGGTATAGTTGATAAAACGATTAGATATCAAACTATAAATGTTAAACTTCCAGTCTTGCCAGGATCTTGTCACAGAGAAAAATGATCCATTACACTAAGTGACCATCAAAAATGAAGATTTTTAGTTAAATAATTGTCTTGAAGTTGGAAGATTTCATTATGAGCTGAAATCGGTTCGAGAAGAACTGGAAAACCTGTTAGTACTGGACAGCTGATCGTCTTGGTTTCGCGAACCCCTACAAACCAATACTTGATAATCGATCTGATGGTCACCAGCGACTGACCATATTCAGGCAGTTAACCCGGCGTTCTAACGGAAAGCCGTAACCAGTAGGTTACAGCAGGTTGAAGATGAGGTCGTAACTCATCGAAGAAGACATTGGCTAGTGGTCGCGCTATGTCATGAATCGGCAGAAGTCAGAATTCACAGTCCGTTGGATTGGGTCTCAGTGGCTTAATGGTCTACGAGCTCGCCTTGTAACCAGAAGGTCCTTGGTCCGAGCCCCTGTGGGTGCGCACTGATGAAGAGTCCCAAACTGGGACGAAAAAGCTGTTCAGTACTCTTAGGTCTTCCAATGGTTGTCTAACTGATGTCAGCTCATGATGAAATCCTTCAACCAATCAAACACAATCACTACATAACCAATACTTTTTTGAAGTGTTTAAAGTAAGTAATTTATTCGAAAATATTTCAGACTGAATATGATGTCAAAGCATTTCCAATCTTAATTAACATTCTTACCGGGTGGCTGGGGAAACTAACTAAATTGTAAACAACAGTTGATGAATTCTTTTCGCAAAAAGTATAAAGGTGTTCGTAACAATAGTCTGTTAAGGACCCACGATTTTCATCAGAGTTATTTAGATCCAGAGTTTAAGCAATGAAAGTAACAATTTCCCTCCCTCGTACTGAAAGACAAATTGATCTAAATCAACTAGAATATGTCAACTGACTTGTTTAACCTATTTATCTCCTTTAATAAATAAATACTAAATGATTAAATACAGATGGGCATAAAATAATGTTGTACACGCAGCAGTACTTGATAAATTATTGTTATAATTATTACTGTTTGGTACGCAACAAGTGTTCAGAGAAATAATTAGAAAGACAAACAAAATCCATGCAACATTTTTACTATTGTAAATAAAACCAGTTTAATAAATATTGATAGAACATAGATAAGTGCATTTTGTAATTTCCATCATAATTACTGTATTATTGTATTGTGTGCGCTTCATAGATGTGTAAATTAGTATAGGATGCGTAAAGACGAGAACACAAACCCAAAACTTTCATAAGAATTAATAATAAACATAACGTTTCACGTGTTGATTAAGATGATTTCTCCAGAATTCTTGTTTGTGTTGTTTGTTTAAAGATTGAAAATTTTCAGCTGGTTCAATGTTATCCAGAAATCCACTAATATATATTCGATGAAATAGAGTGTATAGCTCGCTCCATGCCCCCAATGGCATACCCAACAGGAACAGCTCCATTTCTTTACCCGCTTTAACACCTTCCATTAGTTTTATCAGGTTGTTTAATTGTGTTGCGTTCAACCTTGCAGCTATTGCGTAATCGGACACTGTCTTACTTTCTGGTTTGTATTAGTTAACATTTTCAAGAGAGAAATAAGAGAATTCAAATAAATCCATTATTCAGCGAAATAACTACAAGAATAAACAAAAACAAAAATCTATTTGAAGCATTCTACTTACTTAGCGCTGTCTGCTGTAGCCTACTACTTATTCTCTTCAAACAGATAAAAGTAGTCTTGAAACCACTTTCTACTTGTCGAAGCTAATAAAGGTTCGTCAAATATAATCTTTAAGAAGCAGTAACGTTAATAGTACTAGCGTATATTAAGATAAATCACAAGTTAAATTTGTTAAAGAATTGGGAGTTTGAACGCTTATTGAAAGTTTTGAGAACTTTGTTAATATTCTCTTCACTTTTCTTTCAAAGCCATATAAATAAACTCTTGAATTTGCTATCACTTTGAATTAAATCTAAATGGAAAAGTCTAAAGTTTAATGTGAGACTCTATTTGGCTGATCTTCTTCTGTCTGACAGGTAATAAAACAAGTAAATTATATTTGTTTTTGATATACATTTCAGTAGTGTCATATTAACAATCTAGTAATCATTGCTTTCACGAAATACACTTTTTACTGGATGGCCGTAATACTTGCATGCTCCTCACAATACTTATTAATGGTAAATTCGTCGATAAATAAGATACCGGCAAACGATTAAGAATAATTATGAACTAAAATGCATTAGTCCGTTACTTGTTTTCAATGTTTCCCTAATTTTTGTTAGAATATAACACAAAACATTTAAGCATTAGCACATTGCTTCATAAGTGAATAAGTGATTCCAAATCATACGTTTGCTTTATAAAGTTACGTTTCCTTCGAAGCCCTTAAAATAGTGATTTTAATGTCATCTCCAATAGTTACTGTCAGTAAAAATAACTGAATATCTTTTCTAGAGTTTCCATCGTCAGTGAAGCTTAACTGTTGGTAAATGTGAGATTCTAGTTGCCATATAAATAATCTGCTCAAAAACGATAAACGACTAACTGTTGTGAGACAAACACATTTCAAAGGACATTTTACTTGACAATAAACATGGCTTCAGTCATTACAGAAACATAGAGATTTAAATAACACGTTCACTATAATTCGATATTTAGTGATTTATGGTGAAACTATATGATACAGTCTACGGATAAGCAGACTGTTATTGCCGTAGAGGGTGATGACTGAATATGAAGTGAAAATCTGTAGCAAACTGTGAACAATAGACTCCAGTTTAATGGTTCGAACATCTACCAGATGGACTACGAGGTTCTCTCTTATAATTTAGCGATCAAGAACAGTAGTCTACATTGTGTGTCAGTAATTTTTAAGCTCACGTTTTTCACTGGCTTTGCACAACATAACATGAACAGCAGGGAGAGGAAACAATACTCGAAATTTAAAAAATTCCTTACCGACAAGTTTAGCTGCCAGTTCCTCCGGTGTTCCACGTCCTAAAAACCCGGGTATTAACCAACTTTGATATCGATGTATAAATCCAGCTAAATGTTCTTGTGCCGGCCTTAATTCTGACCGAGAAACAGAATATTAATTGTTATACTTTTCATTTCAAACAAAGATTATACAAATTGTAGAAGTTACAAAAATCTTGGAACAAAAAATGTATTCTAACCATACAATTCTAAATATTTCAACAAATATTTTTATATCATTCGTTTAGTGTAAGATCTTGATTTTCATAACAGAACCAACCTGGCTTCTAAATATGTTGATAGCTGACAAAAGTCAAATGAATTGTTTTATAAATAAAAAGTTAATTTTATATAAGTTTAAAACTTGGGCACTGTGGTAGAGTATAACTCCGTTATGGATAAGATTTTATTTTGATAAATCACACAGAGTTATACAGTAATGTTAACTGATGACCACGTTTCGAGCACAAACTATTGCCGCTCATAATCATATCAAGTTATTCACACGTTTTTTTCCTTTATTTATATACATGAGTGAATTTCACTCATGTGACTTAATATGAATATGAGCAATAGTTTGCACTTGAAACGTCATCAGTTAATATAAATGTGTAACACTGCGTGATTTATCAAAATGAAATCTTATCTATGATGGAACAAAGTGAATTTCGGTTACAGGATTTCATCGTGAGCTGACATTGCTTAGAGAACCATTGGAAAACTTCCCTAGTGTGACTGTTTCTTTGTTGAACTTCTGGTGCTGTTAAGCGATACAAATACTAAGATAAATAAATGCATGCTTTAAAAATACTCACAGGGAACGTGCTTCCAATTAATGATAGATTTTAACTTATTATTTTCTATTTGAATATGAGTGCGCATACAAAGCAGGCTTGGTTTCAACATCATCGCTAATTTTAGTTATTTCTTAGGAGTTTAGATACATTTTTTAATCTGCTTTCTACCAATAATAATAATAAATTATTAGTCATCACTTTCATTGCTTTCGTATATTTTACTTGTTCACATCAGTAAATAAGATAACAGTGATAACAAATATTATCATTCGGCCTACCCATTATTTAAATGCAAAATATCTAAAAATACAACCTATTGTTGGTAAGTTATTTGATTCTAACTTCTTTCTAACTATAGTTCTGATTAGTCTGTGGCGTAAAAATACAAATTCAAAAGCTGTAGTTCATATATAAGACAGTGCAACAATTTATCTTCCACCTGTAAATAACTTTTATCGTCAAGGGAACGCTAATTTCTGCGCTACTAAACAGCTCTTGTTACGGCTGGCTCGATTATCATGAAAATTCGTCAGTTTTTAAAGAAAAGCCAGGCAGTCTATCTCCAAACATAGATTCTTCAGAATTGTGTGCAAAACTAAGCTAATGAGTGGAATGTAACCACATAAGTGTATAAAATTTGTTGTGGGAAAATGATTGAAGCAATATGACTTAGACGTAAATAAAACGTAAACGACGTCACTAAGAAGGGCGAAATATGCAGATAAATAAAATATTCGTTATTGAAACACTAAATAAAAACAGCGATTACGTTACTTTTCCAAAGGGATCATTTCAAAAGTATTTTAGTTTGGCTAATTAAATTTTTTAAAGTTTAATTGTCCTTGTTTCTTGATTTACCAGATAAACTGAAAAAACTATTACTACAGCTAACATCCGTTGAATTATGTTACATTTTACAGTGGCATGAATGAACTTTTATCTATGTATTACACCAACATAACTTATTTCAAATAAAATACTCCACACTCTTTTACAGTAATATGTGGTATGTATTGTCATAGTTTTTCGTAGCAAAACAATTATATATATATGTTATCATGTAAAGTATTCCTCTTACAATCTACTGAAGTATTTCAATTCAGTAAATTCCACTTTATTCAGCGTTATCAACTATTTTGATGTTATTCTTTAGAAGCCACAAATTCTTTTGACTTAGTTTTGAGGAATTCCTCGATTAGACTGCTACATAAGTCTGAGCGAAACTAATCAACCATTAGATGCTCCCTAGTTTTTAGTAGTCCTCTACTTCTGCATTAAATCGAAGTAACTGAAGAAATTGATAAGAACACGTTGACTGAATATTAAGTAACTCCTAGCTTGTGATACTAGGTTATCATGATAAAAACATATGTGTCACAAATTAATTAATCAATCAGCTAGTCTTGGCTAGTCATGAAAACCAAGAGCAGATGACCGCTGGTAACTGCTATGGAATTTAGGAATATTCAGATGTTAGTTTCTCTGATGATAAGGTTATTGTGATGAATGACAGTTCAGTTTCTTTTGATGTTCAATTTTGAATTAGCATATGTTATCTGGATTAGGATATAATGCAGTATGTACACACGAAAATAAAAGTAATACTTTGGTTAGTGTATAACTCAAGTAAATAAATACTCAAGAAAAAACGTCAAAAATATTTCGAAATTGTTAACGTACTTGCAGTACACATTTCAGGATCTTCATCATACAGATCAGGACAATCTGGTTCACCATCACATATAAAATCGAATGATAAACATATTCTGGGTGTTCGACACGGCCAAGGTTGGCTTTCCGGACAGTCGTTGCCTCGTTCTACAACTAAACATAAAAATAATTTATACACTATTCATATGACAGTGAGAAACTGGAAATACCAATTAGAGAGAATGAAAACCTTTTCCAGTCAGTACAAAATCAACCAAAATTTCATGATTTCTTGGACTGTTTGATCCATTTAATGACTGAAGATCTGAGTATCTCGTTTCTGAAAAATGGTAATATTAACTGTTGAATTTATCTGCAGTTCTAAGAACACTAAGCTTTCAATAAGGAATAAGAAATTTTTGAAGAATCCATAATTTCACCTTAAGAAGAACAACCAAAATCAAGAAGATACACTCAAGTTCTAAAAGCTGTCAAGTCTCTCAAAACTGTTTAATGAAATTCTCATTCACATGAAAACTAAAGTAGCTTAAAAATCCACATTGAGTCATATAAAAGAAAAGACTTTCTATGAAGAGTTACTCTTTTCAGTGATATTCTTAAGTTGTACAATAGCATTTATGCTGTAAATTCTCTTGGCAACAGAAGTTATATTTCCAAAGATGTGTCATCCAAAAAGTACACTTTAGGTAACAAATTACGTTACAGAAAAAGTGTCAATCGGGTGGAATAAGATAAAATTAAATAAGTAAACTGAGTAACGTAATATAATTGACGGGACTGGGTGGAATTCGACTAAAACTGAACGAGAGTCAAATTAACAACAGTGCTTACAAGTAGTAGAAAAGGACAAGTAGTAAACTATTCAGAGATTCATTTAGTTCAGCTTCAGAAATAAAATGACAGTGGTAAGAAATAGGAGAATTCGGCTTAAATAAAAATGAAGGTAGTGGGTTGATTCACCGGTAAACTTCAAGGAGTCAGCTGTTCCGATAATAAAGAGTTAACGGCTTGCTTCTCGAGAATACAAGCTAAAATGTTTCAGTTGATAACCAATGTAACTAACAGAAGTTAAGGGAAGCTAATACATGAAATTAGACCAAATACCTGTGAGTGTGAGTTAGACAAATAAGAAACATGTACACAATATGGTGTTATTCCGAAATCTAAGGCTGCGTGGAGATTTTGAACGACAGCAGAGTTGGCATAAAATGTTAAGTGTTGCTAAAGTACACAATACACATTCCACTTCTATAAAATAGCAGAACTACTTGAATAAATTAGCAAAAAACGATGGTATTTGATTGACATCCAACTTAAAACTTCCTCCTTCATAACCATCGTCTCCTTTTCTTAATTTATTGCAATTCCTATTTAACTAAACATATAAAACTTTTCTGTCTTTTTATTAGTGTGTAAAGGAACGTCAAAAAAGTAATTTTTTAATACGTATCTAAAAGTTTATACTTTTAAGAGGATTCTAAGCTTTTTAATTTTGGTGGAAATTGAAAATGTATGTTTGCAAGATTACGAGATTGAGTCAGTGTTGTCGTGAGAAACGAGTTTTTCTCTCCTAGAATTCTCAGTCAGGAAATTTCGCTTCCGTTTTCTGACCGAAGCACTTTAATTCGTTTAGTTTAGAATCTCTTGATTTAACTAAGTAGTTTTTCTACATTAAACGATGCTTGGTTTATTGTGATTATAATGGTGAACGTAACTAATGAATACAGACATATAACCAAGTAATTTAGTTCTTTTGAAAGTCCTGGACTCCCAAATGTGATATTGAAATGTATTCATTCGTCACAACTAAACTATACAACTTGCAGTTGCTGTAATTTAAAACCGTAGTTCTCCTTTCAAGGACCGAAGTGACGGCTTAAACTCTAGTATAATGGATATTGCTTGCAAAATAATTAATCGCAACATTTTCTTCTGTTCTAATTATAACTCTCAACTCCATAGCTACAATTTTCATGATATGACATATGCTAATTAGATCGCACTGTGTAACTTACTTCGTGTTATTTTCCACAGACTAATGGTTTTCGTAATCCATGAAAGTTGCAATTCAAAAATTTGATTAAAACAGAAAAGATAAAGCTAGGATTTATATTTTATCTCATTAGAGTTCTTTAGTTTGTCATGAAACCAGTGAATATTGATATTTAACTGAAACAGCTGGACAATATGTGTTCTGTTTCTCAAACAATAAAGAATGATTTTATCTATACTACATTCTGGCTTTCTCTTAATATGTAGACGTTACAGTTTACAAAACTGCCGTTGGCAATTATTTTTTTGAATTTCTTATGATCTTATTAAATTAATAACACAATCACAGTTTTAGCACACACCTGCTTCCAGCCAACTTGATGAACAGTAATATATTATAACTGTTTTATCACATCCCAAGTGTCATCATCAAACTAGAAATTCCAACTTCAAATTATTATGAACACACTGAAAAATATATAACTTGAGTGGTTTTTCCTTACAATAAATACCTGTGTTTAACTTCCCCACCCACATTTTCCTACCCCATAATAATAGAAAAGCCTATTCTTTACCATGTAGTAAAACGTTTTAAACAAAGAAGTTGATGACAACGAGTAAAAGCATTTTTTCTGATGAAAAGGAGGAAACATAACAAAGACAGTCTGACTTTATCAGATTTCCAGACATACATATGAGCAGTTACAGTTTTACAAAATACATTTTTTACCCGTCGATTCTCATTATAAAATTAAAATCCAGCAGTAACATAAGCAGGAAACTTCTCTTATAAACTTTTATTGACAAGATAACGTTAACTGAACATGATGTCGCTCAAAGTTAGTCTGAGTAATCTTCCAGAGATGATTTTCATTTTTCATGTCACCAAACAGTTCTTAACTGGATCAAAACTTGTCTTAAATACTGCTTTCCTTTAAATATTTCTGTCATTGGTCTTAGTGTAGAACAAGTCTACAACATGGACCAAATTATTACAAATGATTCTACGCAACAAAAAAATGAATTGGTAACTGTCAAAAGCCTTCATCTAAAGTTGTCACCTTGTATTCATATATCAGGTGTGTCAGTAGTTCAGTGTTGAAACACTTGCCGACCGCGCAACTCGTCCAGCGCTCGGTCTCCGACCAACTCAGTCTTTTACCTCGTTCAGCTGGTGGTATGTCTGGCAAAAAGGAAAGGTTGGGCGTGAAGCTAGCAACTCCACTCCATTACAAAAAATGATGCCACCGAGACCTTAATGCTATAGCTTAAAGCACAATGTTCCACTGGGAACTCTAAAGATTAACATAAAAAATAATAATTCATATATCAGTATGTTAGCGCTGAAAATGTCGGAAATAATATCAAGTAGAAAATCTACCTTGGGGAATACGGCAATACTAGAAACACCCACCTGAGCTTCATCTTCATTACTATTTAAACATAAGTTACGCCTAATAGTGTTATTCACATCACTTTAGTTAACCGTACCGAAAGTAAGAGATATAAGAGATTTTACGAAAGTATTTATAAGAATCCTCTTTTCAAAATGTCAAAACTTTCTTGTGAAAGTCAAAGAAAATTCTGACTTACTGATCACAAAGGAATATTCATGAAAAACTGGATTCAAAAGAGTAGGTATAATAAATGTTAACAATGGGCTGTATCAGTTAGTCGGTTAATGAAATCGATAATAAACATATCCTAACCAATGAAGAATCTGATCAAATTTACATCGGACAAATAGCATAAAACGAACTTCAAACAACAAAACGACTTATCATTTGAATAACCTATTTACCAGTCAGAATGTAACAGTGGTTGGGAAGGTGGCTCTAGCCTATAGGTCACAATTTGCATATTGATAATGAATGACCTCATAATCTTATCTACTAGCTCAAAAGGTCAACAATTTGCAAAATATAATGGAAATGTTAGAATACAAATGTGAACTATTACAAAGTAGCTTCCTGTACCAAATACCATAAGATATCTACTGTCATTCAAAACAATACCAAAATATTGCACAGAAATTTTATTCTGATGGTCACCAGCGACTGACCATATTCAGGCAGTTAACCCGGCGTTCTAACGGAAAGCCGTAACCAGTAGGTTACAGCAGGTTGAAGATGAGGTCGTAACTCATCGAAGAAGACATTGGCTAGTGGTCGCGCTATGTCATGAATCGGCAGAAGTCAGAATTCACAGTCCGTTGGATTGGGTCTCAGTGGCTTAATGGTCTACGAGCTCGCCTTGTAACCAGAAGGTCCTTGGTCCGAGCCCCTGTGGGTGCGCACTGATGAAGAGTCCCAAACTGGGACGAAAAAGCTGTTCAGTACTCTTAGGTCTTCCAATGGTTGTCTAACTGATGTCAGCTCATGATGAAATCCTTCAACCAATCAAACACAATCACTACATAACCAATACTTGGAAATTGCACAGAATTGTCGATCATAAAAGGTAAACAAGCTTTCCTACAAAAAAACAAAAAAATATTCCCTAGTATCAGTCTTTATCTAGCAATTGCCGGATATATTTAACCTTCTTTTGCTAGTTTGAAAGTAAATACATTTAGTTTACCAGTTTCTGTTAGTTTGCAAAAGCAGCAGTAGTCCAGTATGAACATCATCAAAGACTACAAGAAAATTCATCTTACCATAAATAAAAAATATCTCTGAGATAACAGCTAGAATATTAAAACCATTTGAAGTAGATATAGCACACAAGTCAGCCAGTTCACTTCATTGGATATTGTGCAAACCGAAAGATTCAACAGAAGGAGAAGATAAAATTAATACCATTTACAAAATAAACTCTATGAACTTCATAACAGATATTAATCGGTCAAAGTGGGCGTCCCCTTCGATTCAGAATACAAGAACACAAATTAGCTGTAAAAAGACATGATATATATTCCTTCATATTAATGCATGTAGTTAATTATTTTTATTTATTATTATTTCCTTTAATTTCTAAAGGAACATAGGGCTTCAGCTGCACGTCTCCATTTCGTTCGGTTCTCTGCTAAAGTTTTCACCTCGCTCCAGGTCTGCTCACGTGCTTTCATCTCCTCTTCACATGACCTCCTCCAAGTCACACTTAGACGACCAACTCACCGCTTCCCTTTCGAGTTCCACTCGACGGCTTGACTAGTGATGTCA